GCTGATGGCCGGCCAGAGAAATAGCAGCAGTTAACGTTAAACATTAACAGTCTCACTGCCAGAGGAGTAAAAACAAAAACATCACACTGCTACACACGAGCCACAGCAGAAATAACTCTTCTCTGTCTCTCTCTGGGCCTATTAGCGATGGAGGTTTCGGGCCACAATGCTTCTGGTAATGAGCCCGGCAGCACAATACAGGCACCGGGCCGGAACAGCTGAGGGCAGACAAAGCTGGCAGGACGGGGACTTACTACATTTAACACAGAGCCATACTAACACTGTGTCCATGTGTGTGTGCGTGTGTGTGTGTAGGATGGAGGAGAAGGCATGTGTCCCATCACCATTATGGGGACGAACTCAAAGACAGAATGGGGGCCCCTGGAGAAATTTCTGCCAAAAAGGCAGCAGAGGAGTGTGTGGCAATCAGTGGGCTGACGGGTCGGGGTTGTCCTGCGCCAGTCATCTGGAAAGTTCTCCACTTATCTCTGGGCTCGAGACAGTGGGCCAACCAACTCAGCCTGGCAAATAAGCATTATGTAGGCTGACAGAATTTGTCCATCCAAATGAGCTGCAGAACACGCTGTTGTTTCAAACTTTGAATGGCAGCACCGCAGTGTGGGCCCCGCCCCGGTTCAGGCGCCTTTGTGGCCCTCCAGAAAACCCACATTGTGTGAGTGAACCCATCACCTTGTCTGTTAATTGTTTAGCCGAAGCCTGGCTGATTGTTTTGAACCCTTTGTCATCTTTTTTTTGTTGCATTAAACCATCCTCTTTGTCTTTGAATATTTAGCAGCCCCTTCCAGAGTGTGAGATTCTCCTTTGGTTACTTAACAGGACTAACAATCAATACCTCACCTTTCTGACTGCTGGAATTGTGGGAGCTGTGTCCGGCAGTTTTTTCAACAGTCCGAAACCAACAATCTGACAATCTCGCCGACTTTACGCAACGATTAGACGGTGTGCAGCCAGGGGAATGGAGGCAGAATTTTAACTTCTCTCTGAAGCTCTATTTGTTCATTTTTAAACTTGAAACTACTTCAATTACTATTCTTACGTAGAGACATGCATGTACAAAAAGAAGTAAAGTAAAAGGAATGTTGGGGCTGAAGGGAATGCCTTAGTTTTGCAGGTATTTGTCATAAAACAAACAACAAATCATTGGACACAATATTTTACCTGATAATGGCACTAGATGAAAAGTTAAGGATCACCAAAGATGTTACAATTCATCCTCAGGTGGATATGAACACCTGCTAAATGTAATTGCGACCTTCCTCAGCGGAAAATCCTTGTGGTTGAAAGCATCATTAACACTCATCCTTGTTTCTGTTTTCGAGGACTAAATTAAACCTCCAAACTAAACAATGAATCGCTGTCACTACAACCAAAAGTCTCTTCCTCATGGTGACGCTTAAAGGAAAAGTGAGATCACTAAAGTCAACAGTTTGTGCCAATCCATCCAATAAGTGTGGGGATATTTCACTGGGTAATTGAAACATTTAACTTCATGGTGGTGCCAGATGGAAAGAAAAAGATTAAATAAATTCATTAGGATTCATCCTCTGGGGACCACGAATGTCTGTGCAAGATGTCTTGACAATCCATCAAAGGTTCGGGACCGACCGAACGTTGGCATAAGAGCCAAAGGGCCTCCGAACACCTGAGCGGTCTTCAGAAGAAAACACCTTCCTCAAATTTCAAGAAGCTATCTAATCTCCTCCACCTTTAACCATAATGCACCTGGAACAAATGTGCCAGTCAAACAGAGCAAACTGGTGAAACAGAGGGTGTTTCTGTTTGGGAGCAGGCTGAGAGAGGAAACACAGGTGCCCTGTGTCCGACCAGCCTATTAAACAACACACAGGCCCTGAAGGCAGGAAGCTGCTATTGACTGGAAGACATCAAGAAAAACGCACCTTTCAAAGCACACACACACACACACACACACACATTCAACACTATACACACACACATGGAGGAGGATAAAATCTGCCAGGTATCAGGTACTGCCCTGAGGGAGAGGGTTGACCTGTGGAGGCCGGGGGAGTCAAACACACAGCTCACTCAACGTCACGCACACATCCCGATAATGCTGCTTTATCCTTGAATTAAACTGCATCATGAATTCATGCAAATATTCATAGCTTTGGATTAAAGTTCAAACTGATTCCTGCTTCCAGCTGAAAGACGAAATGAGATAAGATGGAGGAGATAACTTCACTAACATTCTTGATCTGCTCTATACGTTGCATCAACCTATGGAGCGACGACCGGTGTGTTTGTCCTGCATCTTAAAAGCCTTAAAAGAGTCTGTGCCCGAGGAGTGTTGTCAGAGGCAGGAGTGTGTGTGTGTGTGTGTGTGTGTGTGTGTGTGTGTGTGTGTGTGTGTGGAAGAGGAGAGGGCAAAAAGAGGTCATGCGTTTCAATGCCCTTAAGCAAGGCACTTGCCTTAACTCTCTCAATGAGAGGCTCCTTTGCTACAAAAAGCCAGCATTTGTATAAGAGGTATGGAGGGTCGGCTCTGATGAAATCTAAAGAGTGATTCATGTTTGGGTCTGATAGGCAAATAAAATGAAAATGTCTGGCCATGGGAGAAGCAATACTAATGAGTGCAGTCTGTGGGGGGAAACAAGGCAGGGGAGATGTTTTTCTTCAGTGCCTCCCATTTCATTCAAATCAAGTTACAGCGATAAAAGAATATCACTTCCCGCTGGAAATTACACTCACACGCAAGCCAAATATATTGACTGCGTTTGCAGAAAAGTACAGGAGATGTCTGGTACAAGTGGAAGCTCGGAGAGAATATGAAGAGAGTTATTAGTTAATGTCTCAGGGAAAGAGGCGAGTAGATTCCGAGTGGAAAAACAAAACCCCTGAAAGGAGCGCAGAGAGGCTTCGAGGGCTCTAGACGAGGAAATCACAACAACAGTAGTGAAGAGCGAAGGATGAAGGGGGGAGAGGACACCGAGAGTGAGACAAAAAAATCTTTTGTTTCAATAGCCAGAGTGGGAGAAATCAAGTGTTTGGTGCAGATAAGAGATCAAAAGTAACAAGTAGAGCGTGCGACGCGTCGGCAGCAGATGGAGAATGTGCGTCAGGAGGAGCATTGAGGGCAGGAAAAAAAAAGAGAATCCCAGGGATGAATGTGAGTGTTTACAGCACCGTTTATGTTTGCTGGCAGTGTTTGCAGGTGTTAATATTTACAGGGCATCTCAGAGCCATTGAGGATGTAGAGCAATGTTCAAAGCAACAACGTGTGTGTGTGAGAGGGGAAGGAGGAAAAACAGAAAAAGAGGGTGACCTTAGGTGTCGGGGTCTTTTTTTGGAGCCCATGCTGGACAAGCCCCTAATGATCACAACTTGAGCTCTTGCCTTTTTAATTACCCACCCAGGCCTGACTGAGTCGCACAAAGCTTGAGAATGGAGTGGTGCAGATGGAACAAAAACAGGCCAATTCCTTGGGAAGGGTGCCCTCTGAACCCAGCAGCTAATGCAGCCCCTGCTGCTGCAGCCGGTCATTATTGTTGTTAGAGAGGAGAAGAGAGATGGCACTCCAAAACAAGGCCACCACCGCCGCTGAAGTCATGGTCCACAGGCCATGTGAGAAGAAGCTTTTGGTTGGAGAGCTCCTGTGTGACGCCAGCGCACAACGAGAAAACCTCCAAGCGCAGACTCATGCCCCAGTCGGAACATAACACATTATTAAACATTTCAATTTGATCCGAAGAACAACGGGCACTAATGGCCGCCTCTCGTCGTAACATTTCGTCACGGGCCCGAGAGCATTTAGGTTAGCCAAGATGGCGTCGCCTCTCAGCGTCGCCTCCCCGCCCTTCTCAAGGTGCTATGATGGCCCCGAGCCCCTGTCACTCACGTGGCCCATCAGTCACCCTCATCTGCTGAATCTGACTTTATCTTAATGAGCTGTTGTTATTCCTGCGAATGAATGGAGGCCGCTTCCTTTCATGGGACAAGAGGTTGAGCTTTATCACGTTAACTAAGCACCACCGATGATCTGTCAGAGTTTCACCTGTCTGTCCGGGGCGGAGAAGTCTTAAATAAATCTGAACAAGGAGCTTCGGCTCTAATGAAACGTCCGCTTGTCCGGTGCCTTGATCCGATTCAGGCACCCAAACAGTCCCCGTCTGTATTGTCTGTGTTCTTCATTGCGTTTCCTATTGTCACATCACATTCCTGTGAGTGTGTGTGTGTATGTGTGTGTGTGTGTGCGTGTGTGTGGAGCGGGAGGGGAGGGGAGGTGGGGGGCTTAATTCCAGACATCCTGCTCTTATTGTTGACCGCCCCAGGTCGACTGCTGCTCAACATGTCAGGCTGAAAGAGAACAAAATGGGGCCCGTGCCACTGAGAGCGATTACACACACACACACACACACACACAATTGCAGGTCTGCTTCATCTTCTGTCTTTTTTGTAGTTGAGGTGATGGAATCATTTAAATTTACACCTGCAGTATTTGGAGAAAGTGACAAAGTAATTGTTGTCATACAGTTTGATCAGTCTGCAACTCACACTGTGGCCTCGTGATTCATATTGTAAAAGTCTTTGAGTTAGTTTCATACCAAAAAAAGATATATTTTAAGATTAAAAAGTACGTTTTCCTCAAAATGTGTAACACTGTAAGATTCTGTTTTATGCTTGATGACACACACACACACACACACATACACACAAACCACAAGCATTTTACTGTTTGAATATCAATAATAAAGCAGATTTCTTTCATGAAAAATCAAACAAAAACTGATTACTGAAACGTTGAAAATGTTACTAAAGTGACACTCGTGAAAAAGTGTCGCTGCATCTGTTCGTGTTACAACTCACCTCGTGGTGAAAGGAAAAATGTTTGCATCCGACTTTACATCTCACAAAACCTGTAACTGTGGAGCAAATGTTTGAATCACAGTTTGTCGTATCTAAATTTAAACTGAATTCCAGGCCCTCAAACCTGAAGTGTTGACGCTCATGAAGAGTCTCAATGAAGAACAGCAGTAACAATTTATTTTTCCCCAAAGGGAAAATAATACATGACATTTAAAAAACAAATCCTTCATTTGGAAACAATATGTAACGATGTCATCAACATATTACAGACAATATTAAAAACAATGAAAGTGCAATTAGGATTTTTTTCTTCTTTTCTTTTCAACACACATCCTGTTCCCCTCCGTTCACTCACAGATGAGCTGTGCTACAGCACCCTCTAGTGGTCGACATTTTAAAAAGGGACAGTTTTGACCAAAGTAAAAAGAACAAATGAAAGCAAATTTGTACAATGTTGAGCACGACTACAGACCAAAGTTAACACAACTAAACAAAAATAAATTAGCTCCAGACATTTTGAGTCACTCAGGAAATGAATCAGGTTCCCGCTTTCTTTCCTGAGAGAAATTGAGGGTTTGGGATTCCCTGAGGTGTAATTTTGTAAAAGTACACAAGATAAAAATGCAGAAACAAAACACTAACTCGCTGAGGCCTCAGATATACGACTCTGGTGCTTCTTTCCTTCTCTGCTCAGTGCGTCCACAACTAAACGCTCAGACCTCCTTATTCCACCGGGGAATGATGGTCCTGCGATAAGTCCGTCTTTCTGAGATGTTGCGTCTGACTTTGATCACCGTCGGAGGGGCCAGCTCCAGTTCCAGAGAGGGGCTGGAGTAGGACTTTTTCAGCATGCCTTCAACCTCGTCTTCCTCCATCAAAGAGTCTGCCCACACTGCTTTATCAAACCGTTTCAGGTCCGCGACGCTCGACACGCTGCCACCTGTCTTCTTCACGCTCTTCCACGCCTCCAACCCCTGGATGTAGATCTCATAGCGACACATCTGCAAGGGTTTCCACATGCACGGGGTCACTTATGGGGATTTTTACACTTGTACACACACACACACACACACACGTTCACTCGCAGCGCATTCATTACCTCGTGCTGCAGGTACTCCGCTCTGACGCGATGCTCCTCCAGCTCCTTGGCTCTGGCTCTTTTGCCCTCTGGCAGGTTTTGCTGCAGGTACGACAAGTCCTCTTTGAAGGACCCCAGCGTTCCTGCATACGACTGCAGCTGACGGTCCTGCACAGGGAGAAGAGCAGCACGACAGATAAGAGGCTGCAGGCAAATCCTGCTGAGGAACAAACAGAAAGTATGAACCCTGTCTTACTCCAGCTGCAGAGGTGAAGCGTTCCCGGAGTTTACAGTACAGATGTGTATCATGTAAAGATGTGCATCTCCGTGATTCATGTCTGTGCTGTGAATGAAGTTGAATTCAATTCAACAATAAAAATGTACCTTTGCTTCATTCAGTACCCTCAGATTTTGCTGCCACAGCCTTGATTGGTCTCTTATGACCAGTAGCTTATGAAGCTAAATTGACATTGTCTTGCTTTAAGAGGACAAAAGCGAGTGTTTGAAGATGGAAAATGGAAACAATTGCGATTTTAGGAAATTTACTTAAATAGCTGTACATATATATTATGGTAGTTGCTTGTAAATGACATGTGAATTGTGACTTTAGAGTTGAAGTTGGATCGTACAACAAGTATTTTAAGTCTTACTGGGCTAAACACAAGCTAGATTCATAACAGTCATAACACAGTCATAACAAATACCAAAAAACACAGTCATACTCAAAATGAGTTAAGCAAGAGAGGTACGAGTGTGTACCAGAGTGTGAGCAGACTGCGATGAGGGGAGGATGGGTCTGCAGAATCTCCTCTGAGAGCCGACGGCGGCGGGGAACGGGGGCGACGAGTGAAGGGCCGAGGCCAGGTTGATGCGGCTGATCCATGAATACATCTCCACTTTGGATCTGAGAGGAAGACAAACAGTGTGGCACTGACTGTCCGACTCTTTGACACAAACACACAAACACACACACACACACACACACGAACACACCGCTGTGACTTACGAGGCCTGAAAGAGTAAAACCCTCCAGTCAGCCGTCTGCAGACGGAAGACATGTGGCTTCTTGGTGTAGTCGGCCGCCTGATCGGCCAGAGAGTGGTGCAAGCTCACCACCTCCTCGTCAATCGGCTGATCCCGCCTATAATCATCCTGACGCATATAAATACACTCAATTATCTACACTGTAGGGAGAGGTAATGACGACACGGCGTGCTACTGAGAATCCTATTGGATGAGTTACTGACCTTCTGCAGGTAAAGGACCATTCCCCTCACCACTCCGTAGAAAGTCTTCCAGCCTCTCTTTCCCCACGGAGCTGCCACACAGAAACATGCAGCAGGTGTGTGAAGATTTTGGAAGTATTGATATAAAAAGGCCTCAATGATGAGCGCCACTTAATGCGAATGAGACCAGAAATGATCAGTAATGAAGAGCTGAAGCTGCCTACTGCATCGTCAACATGTCCGAGAAGTAGCACATTTCACCGTAGCAGAGCCAAACATCAGAAATCCTCAGTTCCCTGTGACGTTGTGTTCCTCAACACCCCACACCAAACCCCGTCCGACAGATTATAAATGAACTAAATTACTTTTGCGCCTTTAAATCTGGACTTTTGCTCGTGTCTCACTCACTGCGTTTGCCGTCGATGTCGGCGTGCAGCTTTCTCTGGAGGAATCCCTGCTTGGCCACAGAAGCCGTTTTGTCGTGAGGAACGTCCTGGAAGGGGTTCGCCTTTGAACGCAGCGGCGCATCTTCCCTTGCGTCCTCGTCCACCAACACGGAGCTCTTCAACTCCTCCTCGTCACTGTAACATGCAAAGCAAGACTCTTAATGTATGTGTAAGATTATAAATACGCAAAGAACGGATGATGTTTTATGACTTACACGGCCCACTGCAGTGGCTCACTCTTTATGGAATTGTAAAGACTCTGAAATGGAGATGGAGATGAAAAGGTTAAATATTGTTCCCCAACAAGGATGTGACTTAGCTTTTTGAAAAAGAAAATCAGTGACAGTATTACCTTCAAGAGATCCTTGCTGAAGTTTTCTCCTTCGTTCATCCCATCGAGGTTGGACACAAACTTAACCGAGGACATTGATTTCCCCACATTCTGTTAAGAACACACAAAACGTGTGACTGACTAAATGCCTCACAGAGATCGTCTGGTTACACGGAGCCACGTCAGAACAATACTTAAGATGCAACTCATAAATGTTTCCCACCTGTCCATGCAAGTCAGTGTTGAGAAGCATCAGAGCACATGTGAGCGCCAACACAGACTCTGAGGATGTAAAAATAAATAAGAAGGAAAATTACACATGTCACACGTGAGCGCTCGCTGCTGTATCTTTGAGCAGAAAACAAAAAAGTCGACCATTACTGGAGCTCACCTGAAGAGGTAAAGGAGTCGGGGTTGCACTGATGGAAGCGGCAGGCAAAATGCTGCAGCACGCGCTCTCTCTCCTGGGTCTCTCCTATCAGCACCACCACCTTCAGAAAAGACCTGGGAGAGAGAGAGAAAACAACATATACAAGACGATATATGAGCGTGTTTCGTGAGAGACGTCAGTGCATGAGAATCCAAGCTCCACCTCTGTAACTCTCACCTCAGTGCGTGATCGAGAGTTTGCCCGGTGAAGTCAAACAGCTTCAGGTATTCCTCCCCGACAGCTCGACTGAAGTCATTGCTAAACAGAAACAAAATACATTCTGTGTCAGTGTTGTGACCACTTTATTTCTTAAAAATGAACCTGTTATATATTAGTCCAAAGATGTTTTTTCTGGGTGAGAATAGAAAACAAATAAAGTATCTTTAACTTCTTATCGATACGATATTTCAGGGATGATTATCTAAACCGCAACGATAACAACAACCAGATGACATGAGCACCCAGAGACTTGGTGATAAGTTACTATTTAAAAAGGTAGAAAAGCTTCTGCGGTTGCAGCTCCACTGGCCAGTTTGTGGGTTTGGCTGCGGAGCTCATAAGACCATCATCATTAAGATATAAAAACATAAATAATGTGCTTACTCTTTGTCTAAGTGCTTCACCACGTCCACACGTTGGATCCCATCTAACTTATACAGCCGCTCGGCGAGGCAGCGGGCCATCTCTCTGTTCACCGCGTCTCCGTTCATATGAGGCGCTGCTGTCTCGGGGGCTTTGGGTTGCTCGTCATTTGCAACGATTGTTCGCACGGAGCCGTCCTCGCAACCTCCTACTTCCTCCCCGCGATGTGACTTCTCCGCCTGTTCGTCCACCCGGTTGAACTCGGCCTCCGCTGTCTGCTGTGTGACCTCGGGCTCGGGAGACAGATGCTCCATTATTTCTGACTCATCTGTCTCCGGCTGCACAAGCTGCCCAGCGAGAGACGAGTTGGTCGTTTGCGGCGTCTGCTCATTCTGCTCTGACGGCTCCGTCTGTTCTCGCAGCTCTGCCACTCCGACAGAAACCGTCTGCTGTGATTGAGTGGAGTCCCGTGGCAGGTCTGCAGTTTCACGTCGGGTCGACTCCTCCGTCGGCTCCATCTCTGCTGGCTGTTTCAGATGCTGCGACTGTCCTAACTGGTCTTGCGACACCTCTGTTTGGATCTCCTTTAACTCTTCGGTCGTCTCGAGCTGCTCGGACTCGGCTCGTTCGAGCTGCTCGGACTCGGCTCGTTCGAGCTGCGGTGAAAGCTCTACGTGCTGGTCACAACCTCGTTCCTCCAAACAACTCGTCTCCTCCGGTTCTTCCGTCAGCTCTATTATCTCTGGTGAGTTTTCTATCCTCTCTGTGTCACCTGCTGTCCGGGTCGACAGTTCTTCGACGTTGTCCTCCGACTGTTCAGGGTCAATGTTCTGATCTACATCTTCGCACATTTCTGGCTCCGCAGGTTGACCAGTGGGATCTTCATGTAACTGTTCTAGTACCTCTATGTCCTCTTCAGTCCCCGAGTGTTGCCTTTCCTCCAACAGCTCTGACTGCTGCAGATCAATCAGCTTATCTGGGTTTACAGTTGGTCCGGCATCGTCAGTTTGGAGTGGCTCTGCAGGAAACTCCCTACAAGGTGCGGATGACATATGGATTTTAGTTCATGTTATATTAGCACATAATACTGTGACTTGATTAACATAACGAAAGCGTTCACTGTTACATACTTCCTGTTCCCCTTTCTTAAGTTAAGTCCTTGATACTCACACATCAATCAGACAACTGACAATGTTTGCCTCTTCACTTTGGTCAGTATAGGACACGTTTATCTGCTCGTCCTCCTCTTCTCCCTCGTCCTCAACACCGTTCGCTAAAGTTTGCTCTTCCTCCGAGTCTCCCTGTCCAGTCAGCAGAACGTCGGGCTCCTCTTGTTCCTCTTCTAGTTTTAAATCTACAAAACTGTCCGCTTCATCTTCTGAGGCATCAATCCCTTCAAGGATGTTGATTAAGTCCACAGTTTCAACAGGATACGAGGTTACCGAGTGTCCCTCCTCCTCTTCTTCTTCTTCTAAGTCTGCCCTCAGTGGGATATCTGGAAGATTTTTGAAGAAGAAGGGACACATCACAGATTTGCAGTTTCAAACCAGAACTATTTTCGAATAAAAAAACAAGAAGGCCACAAGAAACCAAGACTCAAACTGAGCAACGAATGGAAATCAACAACTAATTCAAGTCGTCTCCCTCCGAGTGATACGTACCGTTATTGCTTTCTAACAGCTCATGTGTTGGGTCTTCCCTTTCCTGTGTCGGCGGCTCTTGCACATCTGCAGCATCACATGGCTGGAAATTGCAACACAGGCCATTGATCATGAGCATGAGTTGTGCGAGAAAGCTTGTGATTGCCAGCGGGGCTCACGAGTAAGAAGCTGCACTCTTGATTCTCATCTGACGAACATTGTGTCCACTCTATTCCTCCTGCCGCTGCTCAACCCACTACAGTAACACAAACACGTGTCTCTACAGAGACACAGACTGAGGCGGTGAGGCCAGAGTCAAGTGAAGAACGGGTTAATGACACAGGAAATCTGAAGACCTATATGCACCGAGACCGCAAAGAAATATACTAAACTCTAAATAATGGCAGCATGACACCACAACACTTTTTTTTGTATCTCCTCACATACAGTACGTACCTCCGAGCCGTTTCCTGTCCACTCTAGATTTGAGTTGAGAGGCAGACGATCAAACTTGTCTTCTTCCCCTCTGCCCTCCCGTGTGAAAAGATTAACGCCTCGAGATTGGTGAAGCGACGGGGAAGTGGAGTGTAGACTCGTCACGTCGCCTGAGCTCGGCTCATTGGCCAAGCAGCCGTCGGTCACGAACGAAGGTGTCGCCGCAGAGGGATCGGGCATGTCCCACTGCACTGTGGCAAAGGAAAGCGGAGGACTGGTACAGTTCATAGGCCATACCACCTGCTCCCACTGTTCTACCTGCTCAGGGGTCTCTCGTCCCGCCTCTAGGGAGACACTGAGTGGATCCGTCCCATGCACCTGGTTTATCTGGACCACCGTGTCGCCCCACGCAACGGCCTCCTCCTCTCCGTTCATGTACTGGTGGTCGATGGACGTCCACGAGTCCTGTTGAGGCCGCTGAAGGACTGAATCTGTGACATCTGGCAGAGAGGAGCACACGTTTTCCTCCTCCATTAGCATGCGTCTGAGTCAGTTCCGTTGTTGGGGGGTGTTTGTGGGTTTTGGTGAGAGACGCTGTAGCTGCAAATGTTGCCTCGCTACAAAATGTCCAGCTCTGCCGTACGAAGAATGATCATTCTGTCGGATCCCATGAATGTGAAATCCTGAAGCATGTTACAAAATCCAATGGAGCCATTCACAGATCTGTAACGAGAGAGAGAAAAAAAAAACGTGTTAATGTTCAAAGATATTTCACTACACTCCCATCTGAAGCAGAAAAAAGTTGTTGGGTAACCTTTACGAGCAACATCTGATTTGCTGGGAGACAAAAAGTCCATTCATAAGACCCTATATTTAGTTGTAGAGTAATAGCGATGATTCATGGGTTGACTTTTAGCTCTACATTTTTTTTTCTTCTATTCATCTGTGAGAAATAGTACATTTCAAACTACCGAGGACAGCATTTTAAATTACACACGACCCTCCTAGCAAAAACAAAAGTGACATTAAATGATTTACGGCCCTGATAGCACAAAAATACTCCAAACACTCACCACTTGTGTGTCAACACAATCCAACCTGGAGAAGGTTTTTTGTCTGCTCATTTGTCAACTCTTTTTAACTTCTTGGCGTGGCTCTGCAGGTGTGTGCAGTGCAACAGACTTTTAGTGAAATGTCACAAAAGCAAGTTTGTACTTCCTGACCGCAGATACAGTGAATCAGCTGAGCAAGTGAGCGAGAGAGAGATAGAGGTGTATGGTGCGGATTAAGAGCGGGGGGGGGGGAAGAGGGTGGGGTATGAGGGGATATTTCGGGTGAGCAGTTTAACTGCCTGCGTCCTGTGTTTATCAGTTTATCGCCACGCTGCACGGTGAGTCTGAGCTGAGGATAAAACCGTGAAAGGGTCAACACAAGCAAAGGCCTACAGAAGAAAATGATTATTCTGGTGACGAACAGTTAAAATGTCACACCTAATATCTTATTCTCTTCTGCAAAATTTAATCTTTCCCCCTCTCTGTCAAACCGTTTTATTTTCATGTCTTTACTTTTCTGCCTATCTTCATTATTGTTGTATTCACGTCACGCTACCAACATCCGGGACAGACCGTGACCACATTTCCTGTGTGGGTGCTCACTTCTCAGTTCCTGTCAGGGTGCAACAAGTGCTGCAGCACATGAAGATTAACACAGATGATCGTCTGTGAGTTTTAATAGGGAGAATCTGAAATAATGTGGACCACTACATGTGGACCGATACTGAGAGTCTTGTGTTTTACATGATAACACAGTTACATGTGTGATGTTATCTTTGGCAGCACTGTTGATGATAAAAAATGGTTGAAGAAATGCTCAGATGACTGCAGAGATTTCTAGATTCCTTCATTAAATAGAAAAAAAGATCAGGCTACTTTAAGCAAACAAATTGCAGTATGCGGAGTGGAGAGCACCAGGAGAAGTTGTGTACAATGCATGAGAAGTTTATACAGCACGTCACAGGCGTGAGAGGGTGATTGACAAAATGTTAAAGGAGAAGTATCAAAAAAATAGGGAGAATGAAATAAAAAGAGGAACACAGACACACTGGGTAAAGCGAAAGCTGAGAAATGTACGTATAATAATAGAATCTCTCAAGAGGAGAAACACTCCCCGTGTCAGTCATTACCATCAGTGTAAACATGGCACAGACAGGAACACGTTCAAACCGTAAAGAGCTACAAATGAAACTCTCATTAGCAGGAATCTTTTCAACTGTGAAACATGACTTACCCCCTCCAGGCTCTTTACAGCAACATCATATGATCGGCCAGCTTGTGAGGTTTGAAGTCTTAAGGAGGGAAAGGCACGCTGCTGTGTTATACCGGGATAATATCGCTGTCAAAGTGCTACACCTTCACAGACATGCTCACCCAGCATACACAGAACACTCAGTTGATTATGCCTGAAACTGCTACGCACAACAAACAAGCCTCACATCCGCTCTGTTGAAGCCGAGCAGCCTTTCAGTCCGTGGTGTCGCATAACGATGCATGCAAGTCACAAGTCCTAGTCTGAACCAGGTCCTCCCCCTTCTTCTTCTTCATTCTTCCTGTCCATTTTGGTATAGATCAAGATCAGACTTCAGCCTCCCTCTGTCCTGTTCCTCTCCCAGCAGGTATGGCTGTGGGGGGTAAAAATAGGTGGAATTTTGAGTGGCAAAGAAAGGGAGAGGAAAAGGAAGAAGAAGAAAAAAGGCACACTGTGATTGGCAGATGAATCAAGAGCTCGGAGACACCTGAGAGGCCTCGGTCCACGCCCAGCACCCTGAAGGCATGCAAGCACACACACACACACACAGACCAGGTGAGGGGAGTGGCTCAGCTTCATTCCTGCATATGACCCCTAGGAATGATGTGGTAAAACCAGAAGGTATCCATATTCAATATACTCAAGTCATTAGCTGTGCCTCTGGTTTCTGGTGTCTGGCTGTGAGCAGAAAAGCCTGTTCAACACAGACGTGTTATTGTTTTTAGGCTTACCAACAATAACAAGACTACATAGATCTTTTAAGGGACTCGTTCTTTTTATGTTAGCAGCTTTAACTGATAAACACATTTGCCTTTATTTGATTGATGTAACCACTTAATAATAATAGCAGACATTGTTTTAGTTACTGTTTGCATGAGCGTTGCTATTTGCATAATGAGCACTCATCGCTCACATGATTAACGTCATAAGTCAAAAAATCATTCCTAGCTTTATTAAAAGCATTCATTTGTTAGCACTCTTGTTACTAACTTTGTTGCAGTAAACGTCTATCATACTAACAAACACATTAGCTAAGAGAAGCCCAGATAACCCGAGTTATTAATATTATAACGTCACATAATTGATATTCGTTTTGAGTGAGAGGTACTTTATTGTCACTTTTAGCTTTACTCTTGATGCAGCCGCTAGCTAATCTAAGGAAACATTGTAAGCAGTGTCGTTAGCATGATTAGCATTCAGTTGACCGTTGGTATTAAAATATTAGCATTACCTAGCATCTATGTGAGCATCCTTGCAGTTGTAGTGAGTTAGTGGCTAGCTTAGTGGTTGCAGTAGCTGATTTAGTAGTAGTAGTGGCACTAGTAGTATTAGTGATGACCCAGTAGTGCTGCTATGGTTTTTCAGTTCTTCTTCTTGTTATTGAAACACCATTTATCACCGTGGTTATTTGTGTGCACAGTATCACAATGACGTTAGCTAGGGCCCCGGCTAATCCAACGGTTCCCCTCCACACCAGCAGGGGCGCTACAGGCTAGTTAGCAAACAATTAGCTTCTCCTCATCGTCACTTTCGTGCGACTGTCTCTGCTTTGTTTGTTCCGCACACGGCAGCAGAGTCGCGCACACACACACACACACACACACCCCCTCCCCTCCCCATCCCTCCCTCCCTCACAGATACTTTCAACCGTGTACAAACCATCTGGCGAGTTGTTCGCAACCGCTCGGTCCAACATGGCCACGACTAGTCATCTGAAAGTCTTCCTGGAGTCGTCGCTGAATGAGATCTTTAAGGCCACAGTGAGTGACATCCTGGACTCGGTGGACCGGGCCCTGTCCGAGTACCAGGGCACAATACAGAGGATCGAGTCTGAAAACGTGGGCCTGAAGCGGCTGCTGTTTGCACAGAAGAGCACCGAGTCTGCTGCACGAGGTAGGGGTTGTCTACACTCGGTACAGTGTAGCTTCGTGCCTGTTCCAGTATCCCCTGCATTGTCAGCGAAGTGTGTGTGTGTGTGTGTGCGTGTGTTTGTGTGTGAGAGAGAGAGAGATGTGTGCGAGATGTGTGCGACAGTATGAGATCAGAAAAGGCTAGCAGACGTAAACAATGCAGGAACAATGGCTGTGCAAACGTGCATGAGGTAGTAAATAGGCCTGGGGATCAGTGTGTAGTACAGTACTTAACTACACTGTACATCACTGTAGTACGTTACTGTCACAGCATCCTGCCCATACCAATGATGGCACCACAACACAGGACGATCCTACAGTGAACCAGAATATTTGTGTACCGGAAGATGTAAATAGGAATTACACGTTTTTATTTACTGCGTTATTTAGAACTAAGATTCATAGATGGCTGAGAGGAAACTGTGAACCAAATTGCTTAAGAGTCTGAGCTTAAATAACAGCTACTGCAACCCGCTGTATACTATCTGTGTACCTAACTACTACTACGTGGACATAGTGGAGCATTTAGCAGCTAAAGAATCAAATAATTCCCTCAGTAGAGACAAAAACAGTGTGATTTTGTCATTTAACCAAAAGCTGGAAAAATCAATTGATGTCACTTTACATTATAAGTCAGTTGAGTTTGTTCAGGTTGTTTTGTTGCTTCAGTTCTTTCCCTAGTTTATTGTAATACTGTCAGCTAAAGTACTAGTTTGTTCATTAATATGGCTTTCCCTTTTCACAGATATTTGTGAACAAGATGCCACTGAAAATCTTTCGACTTCAGAATGGAACAATTGTCCCATCAGCTCCACTCAGGGCACGTTCAAGATGTCCATATGCAGCAGTGACATGAAGAGCTTCAGGAGGAGGCAGAAAGACAAGACGAGGGATAGTGTATCCTCTTCCTCGTTTCTACTGCAGACTGATCGAATGGTAGAAAGGCCATGTGTGAACACAGGCGAGGTGTGTGCGTCCACCCAGAACTTGATATCGGTAAAAGCAGAGCCAGACCTGGATGAAAGCTGTGCTATTGACCTCTCCCAGCCTTCATCCCTTCTCAATCTGACAATGAGGCCGGTGAAGAATGAGAGCACGGAGGTCAGTCATGATGCATATGAACCTCTGCTGCCATCCGAAGGGCTCGAACAAGAATCCAGAGGCAGGGACGATGAAGTTAAAGTCACCGTTGTCTCCGACACTTACATGCAGGATGGACAGTTCATTAAGACGGAGGAAGAGGAGCAGAATGGGGTGTTGCAGTGCGGTGACGATGACTCTAAGCAAGAGTTGACTCATGCGTTGAATTGTTATCCTGACTCAGAACCGGAAACGGCAGCAAGCAGACAGGTTGTGGTGCCAGAAGTAGTGGCGCGTGAGGAAAACGCTGCTGTTCCCGCAGAAGCGTTTTTGGAGATTCGCGACAACTTCTTGCGCTGTCCCACCTGTCCCAAAACCTTTAGTCGAGCCGCCTCGCTCAATATCCACATCAAGACGCACAGTGGCGAAAAGGCCCACGGCTGCAGCTACTGCGGCAAACGCTTCGGCCGGGCCGATCTCCTCAAGTCCCACAAGCGCACCCACACCGGAGAGCGACCCTACTGCTGCAACCTCTGCAGCAAAACATACGCCCATCCCAGTCAGCTCAGGATACACAAACGCGTCCACACAGGAGAGAAGCCGTACTCCTGCTCGCACTGTGGGAAGCGCTTCAACGAGCACAACCAGCTGAAAGTCCACTTGCGGACTCACACGGGGGAGAGGCCTTACAGCTGCCAGGGGTGCGGCAAAACTTTCAGCAACGCGGGCAACCTGCGCATACACGAGAGGATCCACACCGGGGAGAAGCCGTACTGCTGCGCTCAGTGCGGGAAACGGTTCAACGGCTTGGGCGACCTCAAAACGCACTACAGGATTCACACCGGAGAGAGGCCCTACAGCTGTGAGCTGTGCAAGAAGACCTTCAGCCAGGCGGGCCACCTCACCATACACATGCGGATGCACACGGGAGAAAGGCCGTACAGCTGCAGCGAGTGCGGCAAGAAGTTCACGGTGGCCAGCAGCCTGAAGTTGCACCAGAGGACTCACACGGGGGAGAAGGAGTACAGCTGCTCGTACTGCGACAAGAGCTTTAGCAGGTCGGGTCACTTAAAGAGACACGAACTGGTCCACACCAAAGAGAAGGTCTTCCTCTGCAACCAGTGTGGGAAGAGCTACACCGACCAGTCCTCCCTTAAGAAGCACCTGAAGATGCACGCGGCCAAGGAGCAGAAGGCTCAGAGCGAGGGGAGCACCAGCGAGGCTGAAACCAACCGACCCTCAGCCTCGGAGACTCTGTCAGACACCGATAGAGGTTAGAACCGAGTGATATGAAAGCTGAGAATGAGTGCTGTGTGAAGTCATCTCACTGTTTGTGATGTTTGTGGTACAGGGCAGTACACTGTTGTCTATTTGCTGTGCTTATAGTAGATCCAAATACTCCACCATCTTATAGTCTTCTCTCTCACAACACAACGTTCAGAGACAGAAGACAAGACCCTAAAAGAGCTGTTGTTCTTTTCTACATACTGTATGTTACCAAAATGTCAAAGTGCTTTAAAGGAAAAGTTATTGAAAGCAGTGACGACGAATGATTTAACCACCCTGCTGAAACAAGACACTGAATCCCAGACCAGGTTTTTTTTTTTGTGGTCCTGACCTCTTTGTTGAGAAAATGAAATTTCCCCACAAGGGAAAAAAATAACAATATAGTTGTTTAAGAATTAAGACGTTAGGATGCTTCTACACCCACGTATAAATGTTGTAGTAACTAGAGAGTTAGAAATGATTTCTAACTGATGATTAATATATTGCTGTATATAGCTTTAACTATACAGTCAGCAGTCTGACACGAATGTATTTATATAATAACGTTACTGTGATGAATGTTACTGCAAATGTTCTGTGTTGATTGAGCAGCTTTCACTATTAAATGAATAGTTGTTTTGTAAGCCAATGCTGATATCAAAGAGCATCGAGAGGTTTTGTTTTAGGTTGTTCACTGTTCTACCAGGAAACGCGTCTCTTGATTTATGTACAACTGACACACGTGGGAGTAAAATGTCATGTTTATGATGATAGGGCTACTGTTTGTTGTGTGAACTCATTGATATGACTGCGCAGCAATGTATATCACACTGAGTGTTCGCTACTAGGAGTTTATTGTGACTTACATTTATGTGATCTGTGTCTAAATTAAAGAGAAAAGTTAACCAAATGATTTCTGTTTGATTTATTTATGCTATTTTAAATCAAGGGCAGTGTGCAAGAAAAACATTTGTTTATTTAAAGTACAAATACATGTATTTTTATACATTCAGTACAACCAGAAAAGCAAATACTACAGAGTATATAGTGATGTACCTGCACAAAATGCAGTGGTTCCCAGCATTTATTCCTTGAAGTATAAAGCCTGTTTAATCACTTCACACACACACACATTACTTTGCTTGTATTTTGCTTGTACATTGCTTTTATTACTGTCGGTACTGTTTTTGCTTTTAGATACTGTTTGGTATTTTAATAGTAAAATAGTCGTGTTTTAACAGACGGTGTTATATGTGAAAGTTAGTTTATGACACGGATGTAAGACTAGTCGACTGAACTTGGAAGTGACCGACATTTACCCAATACAGTGGAGATGGTGTCAAATTTTAATATTTTATATAGCACAAACAAAATTCCATTGACCTCTGTTCCATTGAGGTGGGAGGGATTTGGTATCTCTTAGGGCTGCAAAAATGATTTTCATTATTTATTAATTTGTGGATTATTTTTCCAATTCATCAAATAATTATTTAGTCAAAAAAAAAATGAGAAAGAAAAGTGGAAAATGTTGTTGTCTTCAACCTTTTTTTTCACTCCCAAATATTTAGCTAGAACTTGCAATCTTTTTCATTTCATGCTTAAAAACATATTTAACGATTCAAATGTTTAATGATTAATTTTCTATGGATCAATCGACTGATTGTTTCAGCTCTTGTATCTCTAAAACTTGACGAGCACAAACTATCTGCATGCTACATAACATCCACGGTAACTGAGGAGTGTTTTGACTTTGTCGTTTGGTGAACCAGCACTTTATCGTAAAAGTTTAATATTTAATACGCAGTTATGTTCTCTGGCAGAGATACTTTTGAGAAACCTATTAACCTATGTGCTATTAATTAATTCTTCCTCAAAACAGGCAAGAACTTTAATCTTTTGAGCCCTCCTTGGGGGACCCATCCCGGAGGCTGGAAACCACTGCACAATACATCTTTTTAATAATCAGATCAAACAAGAACATGATATATTCTCCTATATTTCACAACAAGAGAACATTCATATATTTAAAAAAGAAACAAAAAAGAAACGTATTCCTATTGGAGTCGTGTCGCGCCGCTCTGGCAGCAGCTGAGCTTTTCCTTGGACAGATAGAGCAACGGCTGAATGCTGCTGCTGAAGTCCATCAAGCCGAATGCGATATAGTGGATGTAGCAAAGATACACGTTGGGGGAGTAGTAGTGCTGGAAGGGTAACAGTAGGACGGGTGGGAAGTAGTTGAACACTATGATAGCCAGGATGATGAGGACCATCTTGAAGGCTCTCTTCTTCACAGGGTGCATCACGTCTCTACCGGGCCCGGACTGCCTCAGCACATAGAGGATCGCGATGTTGCAGTACACCATGAAGGTGAACGATGCCAGGATCATCACAGTGAAGACCTTCTCGAAGTTGACGATGTTGCCCACACATTTAGCGGCGGCGTAGGCCAGAGTGATCAGCCAGACTACGATGGCCAGGACTGATCTGTGGTGGCGGTCCTTGAGCTCGGTGAAGATCATGGGGTGGACCACGGCCATGTAGCGGTCCAGGCAGATGCAGCAGAGGAAGAGAGGTGAGGAGTCTTTGATGCCGTAGAAGAAGCGCAGGACGTACCAGGTGCTGCTGGTGGTGAGGAAGACTATGTTGGCCAGCTCAAGCGGAGGGGTGAGACAGAAGAGCACGTCTAAAATCGCCAGATGACAGATGAAGATATCTGAGGTGGACGAGTCCCCTTTGCTCTTGTGGATGAGCCACAGCACCATGAGGTTGGCCGGGATGCCCAGGAACATATTGATGAACTGCAGGCCCAGGTACCAAATGAGAACAGCAGGCGTGTCTTTGCACTTCTCATACACTGTCAGTTCACCATCAGTGTAGTTGAGGGGTCTGTACGAGTTGTTGTATAAAACCTCCATCAGAGGACGGCAGAGGAACAAAGATCTGTCAGATAAACGGAACAGACACATTCATTCCGATCAGGTGTTAGAACAAAAACAGTGTCTGTTAGCTTTGAGATGAGGGTAACACAATGGTTGATATTTAAACATGCAAATATGGTTGATATTTAAACATACAAATATGGTTGATGTGCGCTGCCCGTACATCAACTCGGTTGTGTGATGTGTTTTTGAAATGCTTTGAAGGAAGTGCCAAGTGACAAAGTTCAAAAAAAGTTCTATCGCCCACCCCGAGCTTAGATTAAATACTGTAGAAAAGCACATGTCACACTATTAATATGGAAGCACTGCATCACAAAAATAACTATCTGGAAATTTAATTTGAGTCATTGCGGTTAGTAAACACAAATTTCTCAATCTTACTAAGAATCCAGATCCTGTGAAGAAATATACTTCCCCTAAATACGCTCTGTAAAAAAATAGATCTCCGAACTCATCAAGCAAAACCGTAATAATACCGTAGATAACATTAAAACAAAAAAATGTCTGAGGCATGGTCACTTACAAAAAGTAATAAAGAAAAATACTGTTACATCAGTCTGCCTCAAATGCTTTATTAACGAAAGTTGCAAAATCAAGAAAAAAAATTGCTTTCAATCACATAGTTCTTGAACTTGAAATACAAACACACACACACATAAAGTGGTTTCATGCATACGTACAATTAATTTTCTTTCAATGCAGTTTTTGTATAAGTTGAAGCCTCTTACCTTGAACTGGCACTTGGTTGTCACAACTGTCACACTGTCACACTGACTCACTGACTCCTCAAACTATTTCATTTCCACATGCTCATGCATAGCCAATGAAATGGCAGTGTGTCAGGTGTGGCTTCATGAAATGGCTTGCACAATCGTTTGCATGTCATCCTAGATGTTTCCACCATGTCAACAGGCGGTTCATTCCCCTATCTCTGTATCTAAGGGTGACGTGTAAATGTGCAACTTGACTGCAAAGAGAGACCCTTGTCTCCTTTATCTAATAAAGTCTGTGAATAATTACTACAGTAAAAGACACAGCGATAAGGATGAAGAACTCTCCCAAGACACAAGATGTGTACGTAAAAATGCAGTATTTGAATTTAGCGGTCAGAAGTTGAATACTCACCTGTTCAACAGGGTACTGCTGCACCTTCCTAAAGTGACTGGGGTCCCCACTCTCCACGTAATCCTTACGCTTCTTGTGTACGTCTGTCCCAGTGTGAGCAGATACAGAACCCTTACCTAAAAATATGGAAAACATCTTTTGGAAGATGACCCAACACTTCAGGGATCCCGATCATCCAATCAGACGAGGGCGTGGGAGCTGAGGACTTCCCTCGATGCTGCGATGCCTTCTTTGGGCCCCATGTACATCCATCATACATTTAAAATTAAGAATAAAATAATCATAAAACAAGCATGAAGATGAATGAAAGTGTGAAAGTGAGTTGGGGGGACAAAGCGGTGCAATATAGAAACAGGTTTGTGTGGAGTACGTGTTGTGGCAAGCCATCATCCATTCACACCGATTGGCGATGATGCAACAAACCGATGATGCCTGACGGAAAATCGTCAGTAAACAACTGATGCAACAGTCCAGAAAATCACTTCTGATTCAAATCAGTGTAACGATGTGTAATATGTTACATGAGGCTGACGTGTTTCAAGATGTGATGTCCGTCGGCGAGTTTGTGCTTCACCCAACATGAAGAACAGGGACATGTCTCCCTACTGAGAGCTACAGATCCCCTCATGCCCTGATTTACACTCACAGTACGTATTTAATTGGTTTTTGTTCGTGGTGTCGACAGATAGTGTTGTTTTTGAGGATGGTTGAATGACCTCTCAGGTGACTGTTGACCTTTCACTCCTATTCTATTAGACATTAAAAAGCTGGGAGATGAATTCAGAACATTTACTTCTTTTTTTTACTAAGTAGTAATAACACAGTGCATAAATACTCTGTTACAAGTAAATGTCACATACGTTTACTTAAGTAAAAGAACAAAAGTAAATCAGTGTACTTTAAGTACCAAGAGTAAAAGTACTAATTTTGCAGAGTAGGCCACTTCAGATTAACGTATGGTATCACAATGTTGGATTATGGTGATTGATTCATTAATTAATCACTTTAATGTTGCATCTGGTAAAGTTGTGACTAATTCTAATTTATTTAGTTATATAAATATGAATGTTTCCTTTGGATAAATAAAGTCTTATTAATACTACATTATCATAATTTATTTATTGATAACATTTTGTATTCTTAATCTGAATCTGTAAAGTCTCTAGTGACTGGAGTTATCAAATGAATGTAGTATAGAAAAAAGTAGGTTACAGTATTGAGTACAGTAGTTCATTAACATCACCAATCGATGTTAACATAGTCGATATATTACACTGTATCAACATGTTGCTATAGAAAGGCTTATTGACTATATTATAATTGATCACTTCTTCGTCAGTGTACTGCAGGTTGTGTGTTGTTCCATGTGTGTTTCAGGCTGTTTGAACAGCTTGATGAGCCGACTGATGAAACTTGACCCAGGTTTGTTTACCCTCTGTCTCTGAACGTGTTTCTACTGGTGTCAGGTTCACAGGAGTTGTGTCTCCCGCCCCTAAGGAAGAAGATGTGTCTCCCTCCTCCTATAAGGAAGAAGATGTGTCTCCCTCCTCCTATAAGGAAGAAGATGTGTCTCCCTCCTCCTATAAGGAGGAAGATGTGTCTCCCTCCTGCAAGATTCTCTCAGGTTTGTTCAATTCTGCATCAGAGCAGAAACACACACGCACACACACACAGGTCAGCCCACAGCTGCTTGTGTTCAAACAGGCCGTCTCAGAAATCCTTGGCGCTTCCTGAAGTTGTAACTTCAGTTGAACATATTTGCAGATTTGTATTATGCATTCATTTTCCCTTCACATATAATGGTAAAAATATTGAAATCATTTTGTTCATATTTCTGCATAAAGCAGCGCTATTCAGCAGCTGTTTTATAAGGTTTTGATCAAACCTGATTGTAAAAAAATAGACACACACACACACACACACATATATATGTATATGTATATATATATATATAT